ATCAAAAGTTATTCAAAAAACACTCACTAGCAAGTCATGTCACCACGACACATGCGAACAAAACAGATCTTATCGAAACTTTATTATTATTATATTTGTTGAAGTATGATGAAATAGCTTAGAAAAATAGAGCATTCTTCTCTCTATCAAACTATATACAAAGAAAGTCTCTTAAAGCTTTTTATAAGGAATAAAAGTACTACTGCCACTACTTTTGGATTGCCCCAAGTATTTATATACACCATGTTTACTCAGGCAGATAACGAAACGCGAAAAATGGTTTTTAAATAATGTGAGTTTCAACGGTTAAGACAGTGTGATATGCCTCTGAAAAAAAGTTCTAACTATTGAAAACGTTTTGTCTTTTAACATGTTACTTCCCTTTTTACAAGGATAAAATTTAAATATGTGTGATGATTTAAATTTCATTACATATCAAACAGTTTGGAAAGCTTGATTGAAGTAGTTGCCGTCGAGAGACGAAGTGATTATAAGAACGTTAAAACATTATAAAATGACATTTTGAGTTTTTTGAAAAAGTACACACACGTTTATTGATTCGATTCATACCTAAAGGTTGTTTTTATAGTTTATGAAGTGTTTTTGTTTATAGAATGTTTCATTGATCGCATATGATTCATTAGTCTTTCAATTGTTATTTACATGTGTTCCTGGAGTATAATTACTAAAATATACTTCACCTAACTAACATTGGAATAAACAAATCATTTGACAGATGAAACATATTTTCGTAAAATTAATTGAATAGATTGAGTTTTCATTTTTGAATGCTTTTTTGGTAAAGCACGATACCAATATAAAAATATATTTTTGTGTGATTAGCTGGAATATTTTGTTAAAACTTATACTAAATATATCTCGCGTACTCTCTAAAAAATATAGAAACCTATTGACGTAAAACCTGTAAAAAATGATTGAGAACAAAATGTGACTTTCTCTGGCACATGATAGGTAGACTATGATAGATTCGTGTGATATGCCGAAACTTTCATGCAGTACATTCTTATATTTATATTGAAGACTGTGATAGGTCAAATAACACTCAATATTTAATATATTTAGTTGTTCTATTTTGTAGGATGTAAAAAGATCAAAGAAGAAAATGTCGAGCGAAAGAATATCGAAAAATAAATGTCGAAAATTTCATGGAAGCGTCATGCAATAATATTGATTTTTTTTTCTTATATTCTTGCTGAACGCTCCATGGATGAACTAATGCATTTCTCCAGCACATTATTTTATGAATGAGCTTTTTAAAACAACGAAAAAGTAGAATATGTATCAAAACGAAGAAGATAATTATGATATTGTGTAATACCGTCTCGTGTATTTCGCTTGATGTTAAATATGCAACATATTTCGATACTTTTTCACTTAATTCTTTAAAGATATGGTGTCGTAAAGAGTAGATGCACTCGGTATGCCGGTATTTTGTTTTTCAATAAAATCCTGAGAACATCCTTACACCGTAGAAATCGGAAAAAATTCTGGTAATTACTTATTTTCTAACAGTTATGATCAATTTGCCAAAGTGTAAAGACGTGCGAAACGAAAAATGAAAACTTTTTTGAAACTCTTTGCGAGGTATAGAAGTATCTGGTATTGATGGGTCTTTCATGTGTCATATAAAGAATTTTACGCATTATATCGATTAATTCGTCATTTTCGAATTACCAACTATCATGTAAGGGTGTCGATGTGGGTGTGAGTATGCATTCTTACTAAGGACATCGACACCCGCAGTCATACTCCAGACCCACATTCCATACTCCAACCGAGCTATATTCGAAGATTATTCAGAATCGAAATTAGTTATTGGACTGAAAAATAACATTACCAGAACATGAGTATCTTTTATTTTATTGATCCTCTACGAATTTACTAAACAAATTGTTCGTAGATATGAATATTTGAAAAAATTCTTGTTCGAATTCGAATCTACTTTTTTAGGTGTAATTTCTTTGAAAACAAATGCACGAAAGTTCCGTTCAGTTTTCTCTGTGAAGACTCTTAATCTTAGAATAAAAGATCAGAAAACAAAACTAAAGCATTGAGCAGATAAAGAAGGATTTCATGATAAAAAAACCGAATAAGAATGGGTGTTGATGTGAGAATCGTCGTAAGTGGCTAGATTGACTGACAAAAAGATCCAAACCCCTACCTCCATCCGTACCTACACACAGCTCCATACCGATACGCTCGATAGTTTTTCGATTGCGGATCGGATAGAATATTCATGCATTAGAATCTCTTTATTTATTTCAAGCTGAGCAAGTAAGTATATTAAAAAGAAAGTGTTCAAAAACAGTTCATTTATGAGACAAAACTAATTTTGATTTAACCGTCATATCCGTTGATGAAGATTCACCAAGGAGTGTTTGAAGAGAGAAAATTAGCTTCAAGTACAAAGTACACCGTTTCTATCTTGACCCAAACACATAACTACATCAAGAACAATATTCTAACTAAGTTTACACCTACATCTACAGCTATATCCTTTTCTCATTTCTTTCAGAGTAGTCACGCACGATTTTTCGATCTGAATTTGAACTCTCTCAGTACGAAGTAAGCTTAACAAACATTTCGATTATTCAATGACGAATAGAGAATGTGAACCGGGTCGGAATCCTCTTGAAATAGGTCTGATTTTCTCTAAATTGGATTTTGTGATTGATTTAAAAATGATATGTTTGTATAATATCACGGTGAAAATGGTGTGTGTGGCTACTCTGAAAGAAATGAAAAAATATAACGATTCATAAAACCTAAAAGGTTGAATTTTTGCACATAATCCTAAGTATGTCTATGCATTATAATGCAATAATCTGACTCAAATTATGACTTTTAGAGTAATCAGACGAAAAAGCTTTAGTAGTCCTCCATTTATATTGTCAAAGTTATTGTACATTCAATAAACAGCAGATAATACTTCATTGATTAATGATATTATAAAAACAATGCAGTGATATAGGTGCAAATGTTCTTGAAGCAAAAATTCATATACATACCTCATGCTCACATCCATTTCGATAAATATAATAAATTAAAAAATTCTAGAAATCTGTCATTTTCTTTCTTAGGAACCATGAGCTCATTAAACTACCCACGTGAGCTTGGAGTGCTGGTCTGGATGCGTGTGTGGATTTTCTTTTCAACGATGCCCTTGCTCACAAATTGCTTTTCTTGAGCAATAATATACTTGAAGAATACAATGTAATTAATTGAAGTGCATTCATTCAGTACTGGTAATTTTCGATTTGTTTATATTTATGTTTAAATATTGTTCATCAATAATTAATTTTCTAATCATTCAACAAAACATCATTACTAAAGTGATCATTACAAAATGAGAAATTTCGCCTTGTACTAACGCCAATACATCTTATCTGCTCATTCAGACATCGACTTTTGTTATTGAAACAAAGTCGAATATTTATTTAGCATTGTAATTTATCATAGATTTATTAGGTTCCTAATATTTATTACGTATATTTCGTACAGACATAAGGGACAACAAGTGAATATCATGTGAGAACTAAATTAAGTCTACGCTTAGTAAGTAATGCCCATGTCTGTTGGACATTTAATTACCCAGGGAATAAAAAGATGAAAAATGCCAATTTTTTTCTTGTTTTTCACATGAAAGTCACCATTTTTTTTTTCATTTTTTTATTTCATGGGTAGTGAACAAAATTCACATACAATTAGTAGTCTTAAAAAAATTTCTGTTCAGGAATAGATTACGAAAGAGAAAAAACAAATGAAAATAAATATGTGAAAAGCGCTGTAGCATTGAAACAGAACTCCGATGTCATTGCTGTAATCATAGAGAAGCAAATATGATTCGTCGCGGGCTTTAATTCAGCGTGAATTAATTATTCATCTGAATTTATAAACACATCGAAATTTAGTTTAAACTCCATTGATCATGATTATATATCAACAGTTTTTTATTAACTATTTTAGGTTTTCATGATATGTATCTAATGGTATATTCGTTGTTGAGCAATTTACTAAAATGTAATTTTATGATGTTAACTGTTATGCATAATGAACTCAACAAATAGTTTTTATGGTATTATTAATCGTGCTCAACTTTGGTGTTGACGTACGATCTGTCTGTTTCAATAATGGCTTTTTTCCCTGCACATTGAATGCGTTGCATTTATATAATATTTATACTAAACATGATTCAACAAAAAATAAGATGATTAACATCAATACTTAGATAAAACTCAGAGACATAATACGAAATTCACAGTAATTAAATTTTTTAATCGATCTGTTCTCGTTGCCCCATTATTACTTTTTTTCTTTCAAATTGTTTCAATTTTCTTCTTTTTTCAAATTTGTTTTAATCCTTTATTCTTTGTATTTGATACTTTTAATTACCATGCAGAGCTTTGATAAATATTTACATCTTAAGAAAAGATGCAAATCGCATCGGTTAATTAACGCTGATGTTATATTTATGGATTGATTTATATACATCTACCTACCAGCTGTAAGACTGATGATACTGTAATTATTATGAACAAGTTTCATGATCTGCTTCGTTTAGTTGTCATATGTTTCTTGTATAATGTGGTAGAAGATGAATACTTTTTTTAGAACCACTAAGTTCTCAAGGTTTTTGATAAAAGTGAACACTTTTTATTCTAAAATTCAGTTTGAAATGACAAAGACCATGGACTCTGTCTCGTACGATTTTGGCGATAATCTATTAGGGGCTGCGTACGGTAGTTTGATGGTAGCCTTCACTGAAAAGAATAGAGTATAATGAAACTATAACTTTTTGTATTTCATGACGACAACGAGAAAAAAAACTCGCATTAGCAAAATAATTGATTACATATTTATTGCATTAATGATTAATAGAAAAAACATTGAGAGAGAGATATAGGGAATACTGTATGCTATAAGAATATCATATTGAATAAATTGACTTCATTTGTTGATTTAGATCTTTCGACTACTGATTAAACTTGAATGAAACCTCGATTGATCATGCTTTTCAAGCTCCATCCATTGCGTGAGCCATCATCATTATAGAATTTCCATGTCCAAAAGGTCCATCCACCGGGAGCACTATTGAATGCTTCGAGTTGTGCTTGAGCATAACGATGTAGATCATAATCATTGCTAAAGCTAGCCGATGATGCAATGCACCACTCGCCAATAAATACCCAGTTACCTGTCCATTGACTTACACCATTCTTTAGTTCATTCTGTGCATAGGCAATCAGTCGATTCTCGTCCCAACCCTGCACACAAAAGAGTAGAAGCAAATTAATGATAGAAAAATATAGTTACCTCAAAACCCCAAATTTGATAACGATGCCATTCATGACGAAGATTGTAAAAATTGGGCCATCGCATGAATTTATTCCAATCACTGTCATAAGGTCCCTGCTGTTGGAGTAAAGGAGCAATAACTAGAAGGCAATCGGAGAAAAGACGAATACGTCCATAAGCATCATAGTAGTATTGTTTCAATACACTCTCAGGAGTTGTACCTAACAATGAGATAACCATGAAAGGACAAATTTAAAGTAAGAAGATTATACCCGATGGTTCGTTGAGTAGACCAATACCAAGAAATGCTGTATCATCTTTATACCTTCGTGCTAACCATTCGACAGCATCTAAGGTGTTTTTAACATTCTCCGGATAATTTCCCCAATGTGATTTGCCTGGATCAGATGGTGCACTATGATCCATTCCATTCTGACTACCTTTAGCAGCATGAAATGAAATTAATACAAGTATATTGTATCGTGGTGCCCATTCTCGAATAGCTCGATCAAGGTAATCGATTGCATTGGGAGCAAACATTCGCCATCCATTTAGATCACCACCACCACTATTATCAAAGCCAGTAATCCAATATCCAACAGGAATTCGAACAACGTTCATTCTGCCAACAGCGATATCGCGAAAGTCTTGTTCAGTGATGAATGAATCACGATGCTGTTTGAATTGAGAATCACCTTTGGAATGACCTTTACAAGAAAAATATGAAAGCTGATGAAATGATTGAAGAACAATGATTACCTAGATGTTGCATCGTTTGATATTCGCCCTGATTGGCAATGTCGTCCGGAACTCCATTCCATGCTGGCGACGCTGTCGTCATCCAATGTTCGGCAACAAGCCATCCTCCTAGATTGACACCTCGAATAGGTTTGCGACCACTCTTGATATCTTCTCTAAGGCTATTGAGCATTGTCCTAAAAATTGAACTCGAAAAGTAAACGAATTAATTTACTGACTTGGATTTGCTAATATCCAAAACTGTCCCTTCAATCTTATATGAAGTCGTTATTTTCGTTGAATAGGACACACCCAAGTGTATCTCTTTTAGAATATGTACATGAAAAAATATTTCGAAACATTTAAATAATATTTCTCCGACATATGTCTACGAAATCTATCAAGTTATATCGTAGTTGAAAAAATATCTCTTTTCTACAAAATGTTTCGTTTTTTGTTGTCAACTACTGGTTGTTGTTGAATGATATTCATCGAAACATTTTGGGTACTTCATTATTTTCAACTAATACGATCTAATAATTGATGCTTTTTCCAACAGCTGTGCAGTAAAAAAGCAATTAAAGAAATAGAGTATATAGTGACGAGCAGTATTTTTTTTAAGTTGTAGAAGCTTAATTTAGTTCACATATGTAGATGTTTGAGGAAGGTTTTTCATGTTACAATGAAGAAAAAGTTTAGACTTCACTATAGAATAATATCTAGATAGACTTGGCTTACCCTTCCGTATAATGCCAATCACCTTCGTATACTCAATCATCTCTTCATATGATTAGTTTCTTGAGCATTCTTCAATAAGTACGCATTTATACATGAAATGGGTTATGATACATCTTCGAAATCTTGAAAACAGAATTACGAAACCTTTTCTGATCGCGTTTTTTTTCTCATAGACGGCATCATAGTCAACTGCACGTTTCCGTCGTTTCGCTATGTTAAAATTATTTTGCAATTAAATATATTAGACACCTTTTTAACTTGTAAAAAAAAGGATATCATATTTCTGAAACAAGTTCAGTTGTTATGGTCAACGTAGAAATCACAGATGCAATTAATTTGATTTCAAATCGGATTAAACCGAAGTCGCTTCGATCCTAACTTTTTAAAAATGACGCTGGTTCGATTCACTTTCAGAAAAAACAAGAAATAATCTCATCTCTGATGAATGTTCCTGATAAATTGAGAAAAGAATCATATTTTACCTGTTTGCGCGGTTTACGTTCGGGTCTCCATTGTTTACACCACAGATCATCGTTGTATCAGTGGTTGCGAAAGCATCACTTTTGGAAACTATACCATATTTCATCCAACAAGTACCACCATTGTACTGAGTCCATGTAAAGTGAGTGCATCCTTGAGTTTCAACACATTTTCCACCACAAAGATTTGACGCAATTTGTACGTTAGACAGATCACTTCCACGAAAATCACATGACATGGCCCAGTTATTTCCATTCCAATTGATATCGCACCTGACGTAATCAAGAACCAAAATATTCACTACCATAAATCCAACCAAAGTCCAAGTAGATAGAATATTCGTCATTTTCTAATTCTATTTGTTGTTCAGACGGTATTTATAGACGGCTTCTAAAAGCAAAAATTATTTTCTTTCATTAATTACAAATTATGTTTAGTAAATCTCATTCGTTATTCGAATAAGGAACAAGCGTTCTACAGAAGCACAATATTATATTATTGTATAAACTCAACAATCTTTCAGAATCTTATTAGGGTAGGATTTTCCATTAGCTATTACCGGTACTAAAGAATACTAATAACTAAAAAGGAATATTGTACACATTAATCTTGATTTGCTTACAGGTAGTGACAAATTGGTACATAAAAAGCTATATCTCGAAAAGAACATATTTTTAAAATCATTGCAAGAAAAATTTACAAACATGAATACAAACTCAGTTGGTCTCAGACGAAATATAAATATTAAGTTGCAGAATAATAGTAAGTGTTTCGAAGCAAATATTTTTGTTCTCGAACTTCATTAGAAATAAAACATTGAAAATCAGTGAAAATTCGAGAACCTGTATACTTAGCATGAAAGTTTTGTTGGGTAGACTCATCAAATGACAGCAGCTAGTGTAACGAAATATGAATTCTGATCAATTAAATTTAACACATTACTATACGAGAAAAGATCAATTTATGATCTGAACAATTGGAATTTACTCAGAAAATCCGATAAAAAAAATAACAAAGAAATGTAACCTTTGTTGAAGTTATTCCTTGTCATTTTAGAATGAGTATTCTTTACCTACTGATTTAACTCATTAGCGGTAAGCTAAGCTGTTCGTTTTGGTATCATGTTCATGCTAGATGCTATTGTTTTTCTACTCTTAGACATTCTCTCATAGCGTAACAACATAAGAAGTAAGAAGATCTACTTACTATTTTATTAAAACGATTGCATTTGGTTGTAGATTTTGTTTGACTAGTGATAATTTCGCGAGTGTATATATATTGTTCTAATAAAGTAACTGGGACTTTTACCGTCGATGCTTGTTGACACATACAAGAGGAGCATTCCCACTTTGAAAACGTAGGGAATATATTATTCGTCATCATCACATGTTCGTAATTTGACTGTTTGTGGTTTGGATACTCTATGTGATTCATTTTCGTATTCGCTTTGACGTCCTCGAATCAACAAGCATAAGAAAAAAAACAAGCGTAGAAGAGGAGCAATCCCTGTTTGAAAAGGTGGAGAAAAAGCATTAGTCATCATCACTTACTCATCTGCAATTTGGTGTTTTGTCATGTCGATAGACTATGCCATCTATTTTCATATTAGTTCACTTTGACTTATTTTCATAGACAAATGTTAGGGACAAAAATCTCAGTTACCTCATTTGAATAATATATATACACTCACGAAAATAGTAAGTAGATTCTCCTATTTCTTATGCTGTTTTGCTATGAGAGAAAGGAGCTAACAAAAAACAAGACACTAGTATCTAGCATAAATATAGTACCAAAACGAACGGGTGATTTCATCGCTAATGAGTTGCAATAGAAAGTAAAGAATATACATTCCAAAATGAAGATAAATAACTTTAATAAAGGTTATACTTCTTTGTCAATTTTTTCACTAGATTCTCCGAGAGAATTTCACTTTTCAAAGAATAAATCAAGTTTTTCAGGTAGAGCAATGTGTTCTTCACTTATAGTTTGTTATAAGTAAAGTTACCACTATTCCAGGTAACTCAAGATAAATTTTTACAAAACATCTTTTTTTATGAATATTCTGTCTAAGTGGACTTTGGTTGGATTCATAATGGTGGTACCCATTGGATGAAATATGATGCGGTTTCCAAAAGTGATGCGTTCGCAACCAGCAATCCAACTATGGTTTGTGACGTTGTGAACCTTGCTGGACCAAATCCTGACTTACGTCCAGTGCTTTCTGTTGCTCTTTCAACGCATCATGAAGTTTATGAGTCTGGTGCTTGCGTACTTCGAACTCCAGCTTATGCCGTTGTTAATCCAGTTGCTTTAGAAGATATTGCAACTTTGCAGCAACTCAAATTCCGGTCAGATTTATGTAGTCATGTTTTCAATGTTGATCGTGGTTATGGACCATAAGATATTGTTATTACAAACTCAAATATCGAGAAGGTCTCGATCTTCATGTTTCTACTTGAAGTAAACTCACTAACAACAAACAACCTGGGAAAACTTATTATAATTTTCAATTGACTTCTCGCAATACCTTTAGCTTTCAAGAATCTCATTGTTATCAGAAGCCTGAAACGGATTAAGGCAACCCGTATTACCATAAAGTCGGACTTTTGAACACAGGTAGACTCATTATTCGTGGAGTCTCTATTGATAACCAAGTTGGACAGCATCAGGCAGCTAACCCTGACTATGCTTTCGATTTTCGTCCAATTGATGACAAGAAACAAGTTGTCTTCATTTTCGAGGATGGAACCACTTCGTTTTTTTTGTGAGATTGTTTATATCAAGGCAGTGAACAGATGTGGAGTTGAATATACAGAATAAAGCTTATTTTCAAAAAGGATCCTCATTAATACTATTATGTATTGGTTTGCAATGCCGACTGGCATCAGTATTTTATTTGACACCGATTGGTTAATCGATTTAATGTCGTTTGAGAAAAGAAGATTTATCGATTTACTTCGATTATAGTGCAATTATTTTGAAAATATCCTGAAATCGTTTTAAATTTTTGTATCGAGTGAAACGTTAAAAATAATTTGTTAGAACATTTTTTCTAAGCTCCAGATGTTAGGATTAGGTAATAATAAACTCTAGTTGCACAAAGCAGCTTGATTACAAATAGCCTTGTGTGGTTTTCCTGTTCAACAATATGAAATTTTAGATCGATGGTTTTATGGAAATCAAAAAATGTATATTATGTTATAAATAGTAAGAGTTCTGGACTTAAGTCAAAATCTGTTTAAAGTTTGAAGTTGAGATGAAAGACTCAAAGTTGTAGCATAGTTATTCGCTTTTCTTATTTTTATGGTTAAAATTTTGTGCATTCAATAATTTTAAGAACCCATAGAGGTTTTTGTTTATGTATCGTGATGAATAAGAGTTGCTGATTGCTTTCGAAACAAAATACATGTAGTTCTCAGGCATAAATAATCATGTACAGAACAATCCATCGCTTAGCAATTCTGATGAGCAATTATTGTGATTGTTTACTTTTATTAAAATGTTTTCGAAATTAGAGTATTACAATTTTGAAATTCAGGTATTATCAATATTGCTTGATATCAATTTCATATTCGTAAAAACGAGCAGTCTCTACACCAGCTGTCGTCTATTGTAGAATAATTTTCAATCTTTCAAGAGGTACTCAAGTGACATATATAATAGAGTTCGACGTAAACCGAGATTATTGATTCGATTCAACTTAGAGTTCGAGAAGTCGGCTTGAGTCGAATCGAACCATTAAAATTCAGTTCAATATGAAAAAACAAATTTGCCAACAGCGAGATTTCTGTACACTAATCGTTGGCATCTTTTTTCTTGTTCTGTCGTTTCGTCAGTTATTCGTTTTCAAGAAATAACAGTTCTTGTTTGGAACATAATAGTCACCTTTTAAAAACCGATTAGCAGCATTGGTTCGAAACGAATTGAACTTCTTCGGCTCGGAATCTAATTTATATCTCTAAAAGTAAATAGGCTCAGTCCATATTTAAAATATGTTATCACTATAACAGCATATTAAAAAAACAATTAGGTGCTCTGAAAGCATTTAGAGTTTTATATTACTGTCTGTATTCATGTTTTAGCTTCAATTGATGAAGTGCAAGGAATACATTGTCATCATCAGATCCCATCGACTAGGTTTTTGCCACTCTTTTTAAAATTTATCTTTTTAAAATTTTTCATTCATTGTTATAGAAATATTCCTTTTTTTTAGAGAAGTAAATACATATTATGGTAGGACTTGATATTTTCTATCAAAATCTATTGTCATAGTGACTACATTTTGAAAAAAGATTCTTTTAAGAAATGCGACCATGTTCAGTGTACTCAAATTCTTTTTCAACAAATGAATGCAAGAGAATCGGTAAATATAGAGAGTGATAGAGAATTTCAAGTTTTATCAGTATATGTATTTATTTCTCGAAAATGCTTTTTCTAAAATAATGAAAAATTCGAAAAAAACTAATTGTGATGACAGTGACAAAATCAAACCCATGGTAATCTGATGATGAGAGTGCATTCATTGTACTTAGCTCATTTTTTAGTGTATAAGTGCAAAATAAACATTAATACAGTGGGTTTTATAAAACTTTAGAAGCTCTCAGAATACCTATTTATTTAAGGGATATGTATTTTTTGTTAAACTTATTCATCGACAATGTACAATCATTATATTGAATCTTAAAAATAATCGTTTTTAAATTGACAAAGTATAATATTTTCTACTTTACTATAACATAAAAGCAAGTTCGGTACTAGTGTCATTATGATTACAAGATTATTCACTATAAATTTTCATTTGACTTTTAAAGAAATATTAAATATATTTATCAACGAAAGATATCTAATCAAATATGTCAATATATTACGATTTATTTTTTTTTTTGGCTTGTAATTATAATCACACATTTATTTATTGGTAAATGACAAAAGAAAAGAAGTATTTATAACGATTGGAGGAGCAAAGCAAATCGTATGATAAATCTTTTATTTTATTTCATTTCATAGTTTCCGTCTGTGAAAATGCCCAGTAAAAAGAAAACAAACAAGACAAGTTAATATGTACACGTATTCATACATATTGGACATCAGACCGATTATACAGAATTGCTCTTTTTCTTACTGCATCTTAATTGACCGAGCCACTACCAAGCACTTTTAATCTGTCGTTCAATGTTATCATCAAATTTTTATGTATAAAATGTCGAACTATTCAATAAAGATCTATTGGTGGTTTTTCTTCAAATGATCGATTTAACTTAACATGCATTAATTTTAATAGTTCAATAAAATCAACATGATTTTCAACTGATACACGAAATAATATCATTTCTTTATTTTCGTTTAAATAAAATACTTCTAATGATGTTGGTGTTGGTGATAAACTAGTGACGATGACTAATTTAAATCAACAGTTAATTCTGTTATATTTAATGAACATAATAGGGTGTGGATGGGTGGATGGGTATGGGTAGTATTGTTACCTGCACCACACCATACTCACACCCCATAAATTAGACAATGATCAACTATTTTCTGTAATGAATACCATAGATTTGTTTTCACACGGAAGAGATAAAAAGCTAATCGGATGAAGAATACGAGTGTGTCAATGTAATTGCAAAACGAAAGAAGCAATAAAAATATTATGTTTTTCTTTCTTCGATTGAGTCAATATATCGACCACGCATTTCAATTTTTTGTTATTAACGTTTTTGAAGAATATGGCAATCAATGAATGAAACAATTGAGTTCTTTGAATACCAAAGAAGAAAAAAAAATTTCTGTTTATAAAAACTTATTGATTTTTCTGAGCATAATAATTGTTCTTTTTTCTACTTTTTTTCTCTATAATAAAAAGCTATTAATCACAATCTCGTGATTGTTTTTCTTGACGACTACATAAAACATAACGAGATAAAAGTAAATCACATATAAAATAGGCAATAAATAATTGACAATTTCTTAATCGTTTTTGTTTTCTAGATAAAAACAGACGAATAATGACTAAAAGTTTTTCTCGAGTACATTGCTACTTTATTCGTCATGGAGAATCCGAAGCCAATATTCAAAATATTTATATATGTGGTCAAAGTATTTCATGTCCATTAACTTCATTAGGAAAAGAACAAGCTGTTCTTTTAGGCAAACGATTAAAATATGAAAATATGAAATTTGATTATTTTCTATGTCCAACTGCTATTCGTGCAAAACAAACAGCAGATATTGTTTTAGAAATAATGAATATTGATACATCAAAATTAATTATATCAAATGCACTTTTAGAACAATCTCAAGGTTTATGGGAAGGAATGAATCGTCTTGAATGTTATACAGATGAAATTATGAAAAAACTGGATGAATTACATATGGAATTTAGTGCTCCAAATGGTGAATCAATACGAATGGTACAAAAACGTGCTATTACATTTTTAGAATTCTATATTGAACAAGCTAAAAAACAAAGTATAGAAGAAAATAGAGAAATATCAATTGTTATTTTTTCACATGTTCATTTAATTCGTGCTGTATTACAATATTATTTACAAAGTAATCCAAAATATACATGGCTTATTAAACAAAATAATACAGCAATTAGTGAAATTGTTTTTAATCAATATGGAATATCATTAGTTAAAGTTAATGATACTGGTCATTTAAAATTTTTAATGCCAGAATCATTAGAAAAAAAATTGATATGATTATGAAATGAAATAAATAAAGCAAATATTTGCTTTTGCTAAGAATCTTATCAAATTTTATTCATACTTATATAATCTTTTGACGATAAGAATTAATTATATACATGAGATTTCTTTAGAAGAAAAACCAACTATGATTATCAATAGTAATAAAAAACCATATGCAATAAATATTTTTCATTTTAAATATGTACTAAATTGATAAATAATGAAGATATGATAGAGATTTTGTAACTTTACCTCGAAGATTATCGTAGAAAATTCGGAGATATTTATTTATTTTTTTATAACTGTTGAACATATCTTATCTATCGCCTACTTTGGGTGCCATCCATAAAGAACTCACAGAAACATGGAAGAGGAAAGGAGTCAGATGCAACTAGACGTTCGAATACTTATTACGATCTTTTTGTGAAATTTTCAAAAGAATAACTTTTCAAAACTCTATAGCGCATCATTTGCAAAAAAATCACGTCTATGGAAATAATATCAGTCGTCTCATAGAATGATATTAGTATATTTGAATAAATAGACTCTTTCTAAAAAGATTTCGAAAACTTGACGTATAGTGATGGGAGGAAGGAGAGCAGCAGTCAACATCTGGACAGAGGACAGAAGAGTCAAAAAATACGATATTTACCTGAACGTTTTGTATTGATACAGTTTGAAAATTCATATGTTTTTTTATGTCAAAGTCAATTTTACTGAGTCTAATGAAAAGACTTATCTATAAATAACACGAGCACATCAAATTCAAAATACTCTTTGGCAAGTCTTGGAAAATTTCTAAATCAACTTAAATATTCTGTAGCTTTTTAACGATTATCAATATTTGCTTAATGATGATGATTTCTCAGAGAAAATGCAACTAGTTTCATACAAATAAATATATTGAATATGAGTTTTTGTATAAATAGAAATTGTACATCATGCTATTCGAAACCAATCACTAAACACTTTATTTTTCGCATAAGTTGAATGGTCTACTCCTGTTTTATTCTATAAAAATACTGATATAACATTTTTGATAAATACGGTGCTTTTTTCTGAAAAAGGGAAAATTAAATTTAAAAAAAAAATAACAATGATAGTGATGGATAGGATGTGTGAACTCTGTTGGTATAGTTCTCCTAAAAAATGTCGAACTATAGAAATGCCGAAAATCAAAATATTGAAATGTTAAAATATCGAAAACAAGCATTCTACTGTTTGAAATTACGAATAAGACACCGAATGAAAATATTTAAAAATCATGAAAGGATACGACAATAACAGTCGAAAGGTATAATGAAATATACTCCTAAACATTTTTTTTTGTCAAGTACATGATTAATCATGCGGGTGCATAGCAATTGAACTCGCATAGAGTTGAAGAAACAAGTATACATCGCATTAGTGTCGAATGTAAATGTGCAAGATTGAGGAGTCCCTCAGCAACTCCAGCTCCAACACCCACACACTCACGATCTGGCTGCGAATGCAATTGATGGTGTGGATGTGGATATGAGTTAAAAATACGAATATCCACACCCACACACGACACCATTACCGACATCCATCCACACGCTGTACTCTCACGCGCCCAGACTTATACATCCACATCCGCACCTCGGAATGAACGAAAATCTCAGTATTTTTCTCCATATTTAAGTTTATTCTCATCATCTCGAAATAAAGATTATTTTTGAATAAGAGACTCAACGTTTAATTCACTACAAATTTACTTTGTTCTTTCATTACAAGTATACCTCATCATTTTTTTCGATACACAACATAAGCGATAACTTTGCAATATTGAACTTTCCACGTTAGTACTTTTACGTAGTTTTAATATGGTACTTTATAAATTTTTTACATGATATTACTTTTAAGTTTTGTTTGTTTTTAATTCTGACTTGAAAATGTTGATGCATATTTATTAGTCCGACTATTAATTGGTTAGATATTGTTGATGAATTGAAATTTTCAAGTCATAGATGATAACAGATGAGAGATGAAAAATATCTTATAATAAAATTTAATAAAAAGTTGGAGCTTGAAAGTTAACTATTTTGAACCACTTCGAACGTTTGATAAAATAAAATCTAGAATAACTTATTTATGTGTTTATTATCCTTAAAATCTAATTACTTCTGGTGTGTTCCATAACTATGTTTATGATGTTTAAAGTATTCTTGCTATTGTTATGAAACTGCTTAAAAGTTAATAATCCAAATCAAGCAATAGAACTCAACTATACCGAATAAATTTCATTGATAGTATCTTCTAACTTGATCGAATGTTGTCGATGACAGACCCGTGCACTGATTTTATCGGAGGATTGCTTTTTTATCATTACATCACAGCAATATTTTATGCTCCTTTTTAGTTACTTTTTGCCGTCCGTTTGTTTTTTTGCTTCTCAAGGCTTTTTATTTATACATTCTTCTTGCAAGGACTGCACACAACAAGAGTAAAATATTTGAGGTAAAGAATGCAAAAACGATAGATTGTAGACATGAAATAAAATTATATTTATAACAAAAATTTCATTTCATAGGAAGTATATCCACGGCTATGGGTGAATTCTGTTGGTATTGTATCGTTCTGTTACGAACAGTAAAACACTAAGATCTCAGCTTCTGCTAAACGGATTTTGAAAATATTTTTAAAAACTCCTTATTTTCTAGCCTATTTGCCAAAAAAATTACGTCATTAGACTGCCGTTGATGATAGCCTTTCAAATAAAAAAAAAGGTAAACAATCACTGTTTTTTGCGCCTCTCTATCGACGAACATCGCTTTTCCTAGGCAAAATTTTAACTGGAGGGTTGAGGTGTGGATGAGGATGGGTATCGGGTGTGGGATGGGCATGTATCTTTGAAGAACAGAACATCACTTACATCTACAGCCACCCACACCCAACCTCAGACTAACACCCTATTTGCACGGTACCACCACTATACTAGCATTGAATGAGAAAACACAGAATGAGGATCTCAGCACTGGCATATAAAAGACAAGAAGTTTTTACTTGGTACCGTAATGGTATTTGTTTACTAATTAAAGGCATCATGCTATAATACTGCTTGCAGAAGTCAATTGCAGTATCTTCTCCGGAACAACATCTCCAAAATGATAGACTAGTTTAGCTTTTTATATAGTGCGCTCATCCTGACTAGTCGTTTATGGTAAGAAAGTTCATTTCTATTTTTTGCGGTTGCGTCAGTTCGCTAAGCACGCTAAACATAAAAGTATTTTTATGTTTATGATATAATAGGTATGTATATCGCTGTGGTATTTTATGAATTCTGTTGATATTGACTGGTACACGAAAGCATCTAATTAACTGCTACTGTATCTCTGTATCGATATAACATAAATAGACAAAAATATACTTAAAGAAAGGTTGTTCTAAACACATAGTTGAAAAAAAATATTTTAAACATTGTCAAGGAAACGAAGTGTCACGCACAATTCAATAATGATGATTGTCATAGGAGGTAATTGCAATATGCAGTTGAAAAGAAAAACAACCGTTCTAAAAAGTGTCGTGTGTCTTACAAGACGGTGCATCCGTCTAAAGTTTAGTTTGGACACTAAAAGCGTCTTATTTTTGAAACACTTGGATCCAATAGTTGTTGATGCATCTTGTTCGTTATCATAATTGGATATGTGACTAGCTAGTCACAAAGACAGAACGGATGTTTATTGTTAATGCATTCAAGATGTGTTTCATGAAAAACATTTTTCAATAATACTTTTTTAAACAATCAAGTGATCGTGGTGGCTTCAGACTGTTTATTTTTGTTCATTATTCCCTCTCTACAATTATTTGATTGAGTAATAAGTTTTTAAGATCAAGATTGTTAATTTTTTATAGATAGTTTTTGTGCATCGTCGTTTGTTTATGGCATTGTTTTAAAATACTTAGGATTATCCAAAAGTAATGGCGGAGGTACTTTTTTTTCTTATAGAAAGCTTGACATTGTTTTCCTTTTTATCAGCATATAGAGCGTCTTTCGCTCTATTTTTCTACGCCATTTGATCACTATTCAACTAATATCATAATAATAAAATTTCGATAAGAACTGTTGTTGTTGAATACTAGCTGGTAGCATTTAGATCATAATGGATGTGGCACTTTTGTATTCCACTTTATCGTCACATAATACGTTGTATTTAAAAAAACAAAATATACCACAAGATGCAGCATGAAAAGCTCTACAATTTACAAAGAACAATTATAAAAAGATTAGATAGAAAAAACCGAGTTCGTCTTTTACCAAAAACCAATCTTGTTGTCGCAACATCGAAATTTAGTAGCTCAGAGTTTTGTCCGTTTTGAAAACAAAAGTGCAACTATACAATAAGCGGTCCTTGATAAATTATAGAGCTTTTCACGCTGCATCTTGTGGTGTATTTTGTTTTTTAATACAACGTATTATGTGATAATGATATTAGTTGAATAGTGATAAAATAGCATAGAAAAATAGAGCGAAAGACGTTCTATCTGTTCATAGAAAAGAAAATTTTTTTCAAGCTTTCTATAAGAAAAAAAGGTACCTCCGCCATTACTTTTGGATAACCCTAAGTATATTTTATTTCAGTTTTTCACTTTATGTCATTATGTTATATTTATTTATTTTTTCTAGATTATATTAATATCACGAACATTTATGTGCTGCTAATTTAAACAACTTCAATGCTTCAGCTGATCTACGAGCTATTAACTCTAGAAATGATTGCATTTTGATATGAGTAGCGTGTATTAAGAAAATGTTTTTGATAAAATAATTTGATGTTTTTTCTCATCAATTTTATTTATTTCCAATTTAACTTTTAATCTTGTTAAAAAATATTGTAAAAAGTTTTTAAATTTGCTTTAAAACATGCTAACGTGAATTTGAAAAAGGAATGGATGAAAAAAATATAAAGTTATTTTATCAAAAATATTTTTGTAATACGCACGATTCGTATCGAAATGTAATAATTTCTAGAATTAGTAGCTCGTAGATCAGC